ACTAACACACAAAAAAATTTATATATATATATATATATATATATATATATAATAAAAATACAAAAATAATATATAATAGTACTCTCAGTACACTTAATTAATTCTGTCTATTATGACCTTGTCATCAAAAGGCACACACACTTACGGAGAATAATAATACAGTAGTACTATCTGGCTGCCGATTATATCCATGTAACACAATCAGTCAATTTTGAAAAAAAAAGATCTACACAGTCCAAAGCAAGCAGTTTATATGACATACAAATGAGCAGTGACATACAGTCCTACTATATAGGCATATAATTTTCTTACTATAAATGAACAAATACAAGGTAAAGCATAACTTACATGTATCAAGCCAGTACCAGTACACTCATAATTTAATTATCACAATAACTGCTTAATTAACTGCTAAATAACTGCTTAATTTATTAAGTCATAACAGTTTCATGATTTCAAGAGATGCTGTAACTTCACCTTAGATACATTTATCTTAGATACATTTATCTGAAACATTTATCAGCTTTCTCTCCTGTTTTTTTTTTTGTTTTTTTTAATCCGGCAGAAAGATGCAAATCTTTTTTAAATGTGACCAGCTTGCCTCAACACACCTGCTTGGAAGTTTCTAGTATGCCTAGTAAGACCTTGATTAGCTGCTTCAGGTGTGTTTGATTAGGGTTGGAGCTAAACTCTGCAGGACACCGGCCCTCCAGGACCGAGTGTGGGCACACCTGGGCTAGGCTAAAAGCAGCCCGTTTTTGTTATAGCTAATGAGTCATTCCACGAAATAGCTGCTTTTCTATTTTGAAAGGTAAATGTATAAGGTATGGAACACCTATCCGTGTGCTCAATGTGTTCATTAAAATGCTATTTCTACAAATATCCAGCTTTTACATGATTAGTTTACTTTTCAAAGTCATGGTTACAGGGCTGACAGTTTAAGATCGCCCCCTACTGACAAACTTAACCAAATATAAAGTGATAAAACACATCTTGAAATTATGCACAAACTGGGAATTAATTTTAATATTATAGCCTATATTAGTACAATATTATGTCCTCTAAAAAAAAAAAATTATATATATATATATATATATATATATAATTTTTTTTTTTTAGAGGACATAATATTGTACTAATATAGGCTATAATATTAAAATTAATTCCCAGTTTGTGCATAATTTCAAGATGTGTTTTATCACTTTATATTTGGTTAAGTTTGTCAGTAGGGGGCGATCTTAAACTGTCAGCTAACTTCACCTTAGATACATTTATCTTAGATACATTTATCTGAAACATTTATCAGCTTTCTCTCCTTTTTTTTTTTTGTTTTTTTTAATCCGGCAGAAAGATGCAAATCTAACCCAAAAGCAAACATAAAAGGAATAGTTCACCCAAAAATTTTAATTGGCAGACAATTTACTCACCCTTGACCTCAGTATTTAGATTAACTTGTTTCTTCATTGCAACAGATTTGGAGAAATTTAGAATTACATCAATCATTCACCAATGGATCATCTGCAGTGAATTGGTGCCGTCAAAATAAGAGTCCAAATAGCTGATAAAAACATTGAAATATTTAGAACTGTTCTTACTTGTAATCGGATTTGTGCACATTTCTCTTCTGATTCAGTCAAGAGGACTGAATCAATGGTTTAAAGTTAAAAACATCTTAATGAGGGATTTGTTTATTACAAACACAGCTTTTCGGTTCACAATATGTTAATTGATGGACTGGTGTCATGTGGATTACTTGTTAATTATTGTGATGTTTTTATCAGCTGTTTGGACTCTCATTCTGATGGCACCCATTCACTGCAGAGGATTCATTGGTGAGCAAGTGATACAATGCTGATTTTTTTACAAATGTGTTCCGACGAAGAAACAAATTCATCTACATCTTGGATGGCCTGAGGATGAGTAAATTTTTTGCCAACTTTCATTTTGGGGTGAACTAGTCCTTTAAAAGATCCCACAGGAAGTACTCTTTTATCATTTCAAGTGCCCATTAAATCGCTGAGTTTAAATTCCACAAAGGCTATTTCCTCAATCTCACTTTTTTTTCCACACTCCATGAGGCAGGCAAATCGCTCCTCACACTGTGTCAAATCTGAATATCCACTGGGACCCTTATGGATGATCCATGGTCGGCCCCAACCCGATGTTTTCAAGGGTGATTTATTCAAGTAAACTCCAAGATCCTTTCTTTTCTTTTTATTAGTTGGATGGGAATAGAGTAACCACATTTTGGTGTCTGACTGTATCAAGCAATCATTTGGGTTCTTCTCCGCTTCATCTGATGGCTCGGGCACAGGGAAGCTCAACACGCTACCCTGGCAGCCATGATGGGGCTCCACGAGTTTCTGAGCAACATGAGGGTTGTCAAAAGCTGCCCCGCTGCTCTCACTTAAAGCTTCCACTCTGTGGCCACATGTACTACGGGCGTTGCAGTACAAATGACTCTGATCAGTGTGGTCTATGATCTCAGCCATCTCACATTCGCAGGATTTCATTGGGATTTTTCCTCCCATCTGCCAGGTGACACCACAGTCATCACTATAGAAAGATAAAGCATGAGGCCTGACTTTGAGTGGAAAATGAAAGGGAAAACACCTACAATGTATGTAATAAACATAAGCTGGAATGATTAGTCTTCCACTTTTCATCTGAATACCATGTCCTGGTCCAACTGCAAAAGTAGCCCAGTTGCAAATCTCATCTCCAATAACTCTATTTGTTACATCTGTTAACTGGCTCCAGTTTTGGCCATAGTCTGAACTAGTGACGTAACACAACCGTGCTTGGTTTCTACCCGTAGCAATCTGGTAATACTCTGTGGTATTGCCCAATATGCAGACAAAGAACAGATAGATGGTTTTGGATTTCCTCTCATAGACTGGGCAAGGATTCATGGTGCGATGATTCGGCAAACATGCAGAAGAGAGTGTTTGAGCAGGAGACCACTGAAAACAATGACAATTAATTCAGTTGAGTATAAGTGTTGAATTATAAAATTAAAAACTATCGTTAAAAGTTTGTGGTTGGTAAGATTTTTAAAAGTGTTTTTGAAGTTTCTATGCTCACCAAGGCTGCATTTATTTGATCAAAGATACAGTAAATCATCATTTAAAATAACGGCTTTCTATTTTAATATATTTTAAAATGCAATTCATTCCTGTGACGGCAAAGCTGAATTTTCAGCAACCATTACTTCAATGTCACACGATCCTTCAGAAATCACGCTAACATGCTGATGTGGTGCGCAAGAAACATGTTCTATTATTATCAGTTGAAAACCGTTGCTTTATATTTTTTTATGGAAACCAATATATATATTGTTTTCAGAATGAATAAAAAGTTCAAAAGAACAAAAAGTATTTGAAAAAAAAGTCTTTACTGTCACTTTCGATCAATTTAATGCATCCATGCTAAATAAAATAATTAATTTCTTTAAAAAAATGATAAAAAATAGTACTGACCCCAAACTTTCAAACTGTGGTGTATATTATAAACTATCAATGCATGCATAAAAATATATATGATATATTTAAAAAAATGAAATTACTTGAAGGGATCCATTTTGTAGTGATCCTCTCCTCATGACCAACACCTTTGCATCACGGTCACGTGGAGTGCTGCGCTCTTCAGCAAAGGCAAGGAAAGTCTGACCATCACTGATGTAGACTAGAGCAGGAATTCTGTATGTTTTACCATCCTTCTGTTGGAATAATGCTGTTCGTGCAGGCAGGGCTTGCTGGGCTTCTGGGTGGCTTTTTGACACCATTCTGTCAATCATTCCTAGATAAACAAGTAGGTAAAAATATGTGGGTATATGACATGAAATGCAGCAGACTTCGAGGCGTTTTCATGCACAGATATCTAGACACTTCTTGGCTTTGAGGCATGTAAAAAATTTATGTATATATATATATATATATATATATATATATATAATTCATTAAAAAGTCCTGATCCCACACAGTATTTATTAAGACAAGACATACATAATCAAATGATACGAGGTCAATTTTTTAATTATAGATATTAAAGCGAAAACTGACAATACATACAATCTGTTCACCTTCCATATATTGCATGTTAGTATCAAACCGTTTAAATGTACATTACTGTGTGATGCAGCTCACCGTCTACTGCTTCCTCCACTGCAGACAGCCGAGAAAGACGAAAGCGGAAACTAGTTTGGTGCATTGTGGGAAAGGCAGTTCGGAACGAACAGGGACGCTGTAAACTTATTTCATTCACTTGTATTAATTGATCTGTAACTTTTTTTTAAAACTTCGTTTATCATTTTCAAATTGTATCCATTGAGTTCAAATAAAAAGTAAAAGTACTACATTTCCCATATCGCTTAACTACGGTTGCTAAGAGACCATGCAAGACAGACTTCATGTCCTGTTTGTACAAATATCCGAGACAGAGTGCATAGCACATCTATGGTGCATAGTAGGAGAGGCTCAATGTTTCCTAGTTAAGGTAAGTTACTTTTCTAGAGTTACTAAAGTAGCCTACTTAATCTTAACGTTTGTGATTAACGGTTTGTTTGGTAGGCCTATGTATTTTTATGCTGTATTGTAATTGTTTACAACTTCATGTTGTTTAGGAGGTAACGGCTCGCTGAAAGAAATGACAGGACTGGGGATTTACAAACTGGACAATGGACAAAGTTACCCTTCAAACTGTTTCCCAATAACATCATTTTTTCATCCAAGAAATGAAGGTGATTATTATTTCTGTGATGACAAAGTCACATGATCCTTCAGAAATCATTCTAATATCAAGGAACATTTCTTATTATTATCAATGTGGAAAATAGTTGTGTTGCTTAATATTTTTGTTTCCTCAGAATACTATTTTTTCAGTATTCTAGCAAGTTCAAAAGAGCAGCATTAATTTGAAATAGAAATTATGTTAACAATGTTAACAACTTAACTGTCACTTGATCAATTGAATGCGTCCTGAATAAAAGTGTTATTTTCTTTAAACAATCTTATTGTGGAAAGCATGCCTTAGAATGCTGAACATTTAAAAGAAATAAAGTTGTAATTATTAAACAGTAGTCCATTGTGATATTTATTTTTTAAAGGGGCTGGACACTGGCTTGTAGCAAACAGAGATACTTTGGAAGATAGGACATCAAAAAGGAAAAACATTTCAGGATCACGTTTTGAAGTGCACTCTGGGAAACATGAAAAGAGACAACCAGAGAGTGCTAGCAACTGTTTAGATGCACAGCTTTTTGTAAGAATGCATTCACATTAGTATTAAATTTGTCTGCTATTAATTCATTCATTGGTTTAAAATGTGACATTGATGTTCAATTTCTCTTTCAATATCCTCCATTGAACATACACGCAAACACTTCCACAATACTTCAGCTTACACTGTGTTGTGTGGACAAGCCCTCAGACCTCTGTTCTGTTAACATCAGTGGCCAGCGTTTGCAAACGGTAAGCCCTGTATCAAAAACATTGTTTAAAGTTACTTTGTTAGATTAAGCCAGTGGTTTAAGTCACATCTGCCATTTACATCACAGAAGGATTTTTCTTTTTAAAAACAGGTCAGACTTGAGGGTTTGGAACAATTTGATAATGTTGCATACATAAATGCTTCTGATAACCACTTAACTTTAGGTAATTAAAGATTTTGTACATTTAATTTATATTTTATATTTAATATATTTGGAAATTTCTAGTGTGATGGAAATTGTTTGCATACAAAATATATTATATATTTTGTTTCTAGAACCCTTTGCCAGGTTTCCTGCATTGAGGGAATTGGAACTGTCATTGAACAGTCTCCATGATTTAGAGATTCATGCTGAAGACTTCCAGAAATTGGAGGTGAGTTTTCTTGAATACTGGGCTGTGATCATATTTTGCTCTTGAAGGCTTGAAGCAGATGTCACTGAGAATATTGTGATGATCAGAGAAGCTTGACTTTATTCATTTGTTTCAGGTGTTGGATTTATCCTTCAATACCTTAACAGGAGAAAGCATAATAAATCTAGGCCTGTTACCACATCTGAAGGTGCTCCATCTGACTGGAAACCGGCTGCAGATGCTTCCACTCAATATGGCTGAACCTTGTACCTACTCTGGAGAAAAGTAAATGTTTGCTACTGTAGTTCCTTCAAAGACTTTATCTAGGTAGCATATGTTTTTAGAAATACAATGCTTAGTCTTTATTTAAAAGCATTGACCGTTAAGTCACAAGACAAAACGTAGAATCCACAGTCCATAGTTTTCACTATAGTTTTGAATGTCTCTATCATATATAAAGTTTTCTTTTTCAACAGCACAGAACGGGGTGTCCTGCTATTTCAAACTCTGGAGGTATTGATGCTTGATGACAACAAATTATCTTCTCCGGGAGTGTTTATGAGCCTTGCTAACTTAAAGAGGTTAGTAAGCTGTTTTATAAAGAAATAGCTCTGGCATTTCCAAAATGTTTAAGTGAATTTCAGTGATATCAAATAAAAGTGACATTTCATGCAACAAGATAGTCCTGACTAGTTCTGCGTTGCATGTGACAGGTGCTTAAAGTAGAATCTTTTCCATAAACACCAGATGTATTTATTTATTTGTTTGTTTGTGCAGGAAAATTTTACAACAACAACCGTAATAATAATCTTTTTATGAATGTAATAATAATTTGCCAAAATAGCAATGTTATTTAGCACAAAATCAATTTTGGGGTTGAACCATAGCACAACATTTGATACTTTTTTAATCCAAGAGAGGTGCTGCATATTTCTCTGTATCGATCATGAAGGTCATCTTAAAAATGCAAGAATAAAAACGATGTTTCTATAATCCTAATTTTCTGCACAAAATGCGCAGTCATTATAATCAGTTATGAGACACATTAGGTAGTCTATCAAGTTTATTTCATTCTTCTTGGTATAGACTGCCCTCTTGAGGCACAGCCACACAATTTTAAACAAAACAATGCTGTAGCCCAAGGAAATTACTGGTGTTGTAAATATTAATGTGTAGTGATTAGATGGCCCTGTTTTGTTTTTAAATATTTAAAGTTATAAATTATAAAGAAAAAAATTTGGAAAATGCAAAAGGGCAATATAAGCTCAAATTTAACATTTCTTTTTCTTTCATTCTCTGTTAAATTATTTTCTTTTTCTAATTTGAATTTATTGTGCATTTAGGCTTCGTCATCTAAACTTACAAGGAAATTACATCTCAGGAGTCCCATTCTTAGAAAAGGTGGCAACATTACAAGATGCCCAGACAGGCATTATGCCACAGAGCATCGGACAGAATGTGCCCACAGTGAATGACAAGAGGATAACGTGTTAGTATATTTAATTTACAAAATAAGAATAATTTTAGGTTGGAAAACAAATTATGTGTTCATTTATTCACTTTCTCTGCCAGATAGACTCTGAAATCAAGATGAACCAGCAAAAACCAGAAAAAGCGTTGAAAGTAGGATCGGCTCTCTTATTTTTTTATTTTCCTGTTTACATACGTCGTATCAATTTATTTTCAATTTAGCAGAGATCTATATCAGCATTTTACAATCTAACTTGCATCTCATTTAGGAGGACAAATCATGTCTCAAAATGCATTCTGGTGCCCTACAGTACTGTCATCAGAGAAAGGAGGACGGATGCGCTCTGGGTCTCTGTCTACCTTTTCCAGAACTTCGTCATCTGAATTTGGCCAACAATGAGGTCTGTGTATTGCCTTCTGGCTGTTAAAAAGCCTTTGATTTGCTACAAACATAGACAGCCGAATGAAGTCATTGACAGCAGAGCTATTTGCCACTTTTTTCCTCTAGATAGCCGAGGAAGAGGCATTGTTGCCCGTGGCATTGTTTCCGAAGCTCAATGAGCTTGTTATTCACTCAAACCCCTTGACAACACAGAGGAGTGGTAAGCTCACACAATCCTCAGGCAGGCTCATTGTTAGTGCATTAAATCAACTAAATCTGACAAAAATGCACAGCTTTCTTTGTTTTTTTACTACAGGCGATCCACCAATGCTGACCTGTTTTCTTCAAGTCACGCTGGGTATTAAGATAACACGCAAAAAAACAACTGATCTGATTAAGCGACATATCATACTCCCTGTCAGTCCTAAAAGAAAGGTGTCACAAGTTTGGATTTGGCACTTAATATTTTTTAAAGTTAATCCTTTCAGAAGCAATTTACCTTCTACTTAAACTTTCAGGTGAAACCCACACTTCCAAAATTTCCTTCGATCACGGCAAATCAACATGCTACAGAAACGCTCTGCTCCACGAAATGTACTGGACAAGATAATCCTCTACCCTTAGAGTATGGGTTAACTCATGTATTTGGCTTCTCGTCTCAAACAAGCATTGACGACGAGGAAGACATTGCCATAGGCCAGGAGCATTTTGACTTGACAAGTGCAGACATATCCTTTGAGACGAATCAAAATGCAGAGCCGTTCTTTGTGACAGAGGTAATTTTATTGCACCTTGAACCTAGGAGTCTACATATCAAAGACTTGTATATGTATGTTTGAAAACTTTTTTTTGTTTGATTTAATTTTCCAGGTTAATGGCTTAAATGAATCTGAATACCAAGAAGATCCCGATGAAGCAAGGGAAACCGAACTGGAGATGAAAAAAGGCTGCAAAGCATGTCCAGAAAAACTGATTGGTTATGAAATCTTACTTGATGACACATCTGAGCCAGAAATGCCTGAGCTTTCTGGTAGGAATTTTCCTGAACTCTGTTGTTGACCTCTTGCTTCGTTTGAATCAGTGCTGTTTGTTTGTTCGTGTTGTCATTGACTTCTCTGGATGCAGGAATTCAACAAGCTGTTAGTGTTTTGGAGCACATGCTCAAGAACCTGCTCTTACTCTCTCCTTATTCATTAATGAGTTGGTTTTAGTTTGCAATAAAACACTATTAAGATATTGGAGAGATGGTGACAATTTGTTTGATGTTTGTGTTGATTACAAATAAACTGTATATGCCATTGCTGTCAGATATATTGAGTTTGCAATAAATTTATTCTCATCATGTGCTGTGAACTATTTTTAAAATCATTTTTATCTTTTATATATATATATATATGACAACAGTTAGGCTGTTAGGTCAACTTTTGAGTGTTTTGACAATTAAAAATGTTTTTTTTGGTCAGCTTGGGAAAAAATGTGACAAAAGTAAAGTATACTTAATAAAAAAACACAATTTTTACC